ATTCTTGATAGCATCAATTCTCCCCTGGTGGAAAATTTTCATCTCCTGATGAGAACATATCAGCAACTCGTTCATAAAGCTTCCAGTTTTTCTTTTTTAGATCAGCAGCATCAATCCAGGTACAGTCAGTCAATGGCCGATTGCTCCATTTGACCAAAAACTTTTTGTGCTCTCCATGCCTCGTTTGAATAACTTTCACATCAATAACATCTTCGATTTGATCTTCAGACTTTACCAAAGGAGCAGAGAGTGATAAAGTTTCAAAATCTATAAAATCGTCAGAATCTCCTTCATACAAAGACAAGTCAGAAACATTAAAAACAGGTGAAGTGCCAACAGTATCTGGTAAATCTAGCAAATAGGCATTAGCACCTAATTTTTTAATCACACGAAATGGACCAAATTTCTTTCTACTTAACTTTTTAAAAGTGCCAACAGGAAACCTTTGGCGACAAAAGTAAGCCATCACTAAGTCACCTTCATTGAAATTTGCTTCTTTTCGATGTTTATCAGCCTCAGACTTATATTTAGCAGTAACCTTCTTAAGTTTTTCAAAAACCTGTTGTTGGACAGTTTTTATATGATCAAATGTTTCAAAAGCCTCAGCACTAGTTTTTTTAGGAAGAGATAAAGAATTTCTATCCAGAATGTGAGGAATAGGTTGCCCATAAATAATTTCAAATGGAGTTTTGCCAGTAGAACGATTAACAGAATTATTATATGCAAACTCAGCTTGAGGCAACACTAAATCCCATTGAGATGGTTTTTCACCAGCAAGACATCTTAACAAATTTCCCAAGCTTTGATTTACTACCTCAGTCTGCCCATCGGTTTGAGGATGATAGGCACTGCTAAATTGAAGAGTAGTTCCAAGTTTTACCTACAGAGTTCTCCAAAAATGACTTAAAAACCTAGTGTCACGATCAGAAGTAAAAGTTCGAGGAATACCATGCAAACGAACAACTTCTTTAAAAAACAAATCAGCAATATGAGAAGCATCATAAGTTTTCTTGCAAGGAATAAAATGTGCCATTTTACTGAATCGATCTACTACCACAAAAACAGAGTCATATTTTCGAAAAGTAACTGGTAAGCCTAAAACAAAATCCATAGAAATATCTTCCCAAGGTTTGTTTGGAATAGGCAGAGGAGTATACAAACCAGAATTTTGTGTAGTTCCTTTAAAAGCTTGACATACCTTGTATTGTTTTACTAATTTAGCAATGTCTTTTCTCATGTGGGGCCAGAAATACTTTTCTTCAACTAAAGCAATTGTTTTTCCTTGCCCAAAATGTCCTCCCAAACCTCCACTATGCAATTCTTTCACAAGTTGTTCTCTCAAAGAA